GAAATAGCGTTTACTAAATGGTCTAACAAACATTACCCACAATGGTTGCACGAGTTAGGTAAGAAAAAACATGTATGTTGTATCACATAATTATATCTTATCACAGATGTAGATGACAAATCAACATTCAAGGATGTCTAGTCTATGTTCCGCCACGCCAGTTAAAATTTCTCAGTTGTTGACAACCAGCTTTGCAAGACGACGGATCATAAATCCCCTTTCTATATCCCTATGCCTTCGCAGAACTTATGTTTACATTTTGCAAAGACCAAAGAACCTCATAAGCTTAGGGACTTTAAAAAATAATGCGAAAGCAACCAAAGAGGTAGAAAAATACTCTCATCTGCATCATGAAATCCAGGTTCTTTATATTTACAGAGTCTTTACTACTACAGCATAAACGGATTGGCCGTGGACCTGCCTCAGGCTGGGGTAAAACTTGCAGTCGAGGTCAGAAAGGTCAAAAAGCTAGAAGTAAAGTAAGACGTGGTTTCATGGGAGGCCAAACACCAATTACGCGAGCTTTTCCAAAACGGGGCTTTTATAATCTGTAATATATTCAATTCAGGCAGAGACTGTTTGGTTTTTCTTTTTAAATTCATGTTTACGATATTTTAATTTCGTGATTGTAGTAATTCAAAAGTCTGGATACCCTTGAATCTCGATCGACTTCAGCATTGGATCAATACTGGTAGAATTGATCCCACAAAGCCAATTACCATGAGAGAACTTTTAGATTCAAGATGTGTACATGGGGTTAAAGACAGTGTCAAGTTATTGTCAGAAGTATATGTGAGGGTCTCTCGAAGTCCTCTCTAATACTTAGTTTTTTTAAGGCTGAGGTGTAATAATTTGGTCCGAGTATCCTTCTCTTTCTACAAAATAAACTTCAATTCCATTCATTAGCATGCACATTCGTTTACTCAAACTATACCAAAGTTCCTGTTGTAGCAATGAACATTCACAATATCAACTACTTGAAACTCTTCCAAATTCCTTTATGGTCACAGTTTCACCTTCAAATGTCAAACATTTGCATAATAGTTGTTTTGAACAAAATAGTTGTTAAGCAGTTTGTTAGCAATTATTATTTTGTTAATTTTATTCAGACTTTTTTCTCTCACTTATATATATGCTAGTTTCAAAAAATTATATCAAATATATCAACTATCTAAACTATCGCTGCTATATCTAATTTCTTAACTATTTTAACTATCTGAAATAAAATAAAGAAATCAAAAAAAAGAAATAAATTACAGATATCTCATTTCTCTCAGATTTGTTATTTTTGGAATCGTCATTGCATACACTCATGTGACCATGCAATTTCCCTTTCACATATACAATCTTATCTATACATAATATCTGGAGTAATAAACCTTATTTGATCATTCATCACAAAATATAATCCAGGGAGCACAATATTTTACAACACCCGTTACGATTGAAGTAGCTCGTGCCTCTCGATCAGCAATCAAAGCAATAAAGAAGGTCAGCGGAGATGTCACCTGTAGGTATTTTAATAGGCTTTCATTGAAAGCTACTCTAATGCCCAAGAAATTCTGGAAAATCTCTAAGTTCGCTGACCCCGTAAAGACAAAGAATAAAGGTAAGTTATTTTATTCTTATTGTCGTCCATTATATCAGTTTGCCTAGAAAATGAAAACTCTTCGTCTATTTATAGAATAGTATTCCAATACCAAAAATAGAGGTTACTTGGCGAAAAGACTTTTTGAAGTCACAAACTCATAAACTTGCAATTTTATTGTGTGGAAAAGGGACAAGAAATTGGATGAATTTTGAATTATCATCATGTAGTTATGTAGTTCATATTTCTCATTTGAAAATTTAACATTGCATTGAATATTTCATTAAATATATGTGACAGTTAGTGGAAATTTTATTTAAGGAGATACAAAAAATAATGGTTAAAATGATGTCTTAAAGAGAACCATGACTTGGAAATGATTGAGAACTAAAAGAGCATAAAATTTGATTTTGCTTTTGTAATTTCTAAACCTTGAGTCTAAGATTATTAAAAATTAATAAAATCAAAAAAAAAATAAAAATTTTTTTCTTATTGTGTATGTGCGTGAAAGTTTTGTGAGAAAAAAAGAAGTTGAAAGAAAATTTACAAGAATTTTTAAAAACAAATAGTGATTAACGGGTCAAATTAGTGGATTGATTCTCTTAAGCTTCATCCTTAGACAATGATGGGTATTTGTTTAAAAAAATTTTCCAATTTTTTGTTTTTTTTTTTTGTTTTTTTTTTTTGGTTTGTAGAGTATCGGATTAAAAAGGAGATAACAAAAACTGAGACAGTTTTCGCTTAATAAGGAATTGAAATACAATTTAGTGAAACTTTGCAAAAAGAAAAAATTATCAATATCCTTTAGGTCCTTCTTCCTTTGCAAAGTACTTATATTATTGAGGTGTGGCATAAATCTTGAAGAGATGGATAAACATTGTTACGTGAAAGGAGAAAAAATAATAATAAAAGAAATTAGTTACATTACATACAAAGAGTATCCTCCAGGTGAACGTAGAAGAAAACATTTCGCACACCCAAAAGTGTATCCAAATCGAGTGAAAAAATAATAATGTAAGAGAACTAAAAAAGGTTTTGTTTCTTAACAAGAAAAAAGTAAAAGGTGAAAAAAATGGAATAAACAAATAAAATAAAGTTTTGTAGATGGAAAGAGTTCTTCGTTATTGTGATAGAGACTTCCTTTATTCAAGTAATACTTAAATACTACATATCAACATCTGTTTTTACTCGGAAATCAATATTTACTGTATATTTAATACAGTAGCCGTCATAAAAAATGCACTTATATCTTTTGGCCTCGAATAATTATATTTTAATAAAAAAGCAATTGTATTTTACATAATTTTATATTTAGTCGTTAATAAATTATTTAAATTTTTATTTATTTAATAAAAAAAGCTTAATTTT